GCGAACCTATGGCATGCGTGCCATATGTGGCACCAGAGCAATTTCTGAGGGCATGTGAGGCATTGCTCTGTCATCTCCAGCGCACATGCGTGCACTGGCCAACTGATGTTCGGCCTTGATTTTTGCCCGTTTTTCTCCCTCCCCCCCTTCAGGGAAGCTTCTGGAGGGAGAAAAAACGTTCCAACAGGCAATCCGGAATCTGTTCCCAAACTTCCAGTTTGCACGTTGGACTGTTTTTCGCCCTTCCCAGGCTCTGGAGCCTGGGGAGGGCGAAAAACGGACCTACGGGGCCCACAAGAAGTCTTCCAGAGAGAGGATTAAAATCTTGAGGAGCTGCTGTATCTGATCTGTCTACTGAAAGTATAAATCAGTTATGGGCTTCTCACCTAAACAAAGCAGACATAGGGAATCCTCACTATATATGTGACATTTTTGAAATGTAGGCTATGAGGCCATATGGCTGGTCTGGCAAAAGGCTCCAAAAGACATTTGTAAACATGAAGAATAAAGCCAGAAAAGAATGAAACAAAAATATAAAATAACTGAGGGTAAAAGGTCCATTACACTAAGCAAATTAAATAAAATTATTTAGAAAGTAGTCTGAGAACACTGATGTTTTGTATGGTTAGAAACAGGAATTCAGGGAGGGGGAAAAATCATACCAGTATATAGAGTGGTAATAAATAGTGAGGTCCTAAGAAAGAAATTCAAATTTTATAATGTTAGGCACACACAAAAAAACATGTCTTACTTCAGAGACCATAAGAAAGAGGTAACGAATGCAAAGATCTATTGCATAAGAAATGTCTGTTTGCACAAATATCACAAATCATGCTGTCTGTAACTTGAAACTGTTAATCCTAAAATATTATTATTAAGACCACATTTAATCTAATTTATAAATATACCTTTCCTTCAATTCCAATTCCACAATCTGCTGCCTGGATCATACTGACATCATTTCCTCCATCGCCTGAAAAAACATGTGCAGAATATTTAAGTTTGGATTGGCAGTGTTTCATATTGACTAGCTGCATTTTGTTTCACCTTGAATTTCTATAAAGGTATTTGACTTACATTTTAAATTAAAAGCGGTTTTTATTTTTTCAACTTACGAAAATAAAAAAAAACTGAGTAATTATTATACCTTTGCTGCTAAAAGATTTCCCCATTTTCTATATATAAATTATAGTTTAGAAAATTATAAAAAAATTGTGATTGTGTATGATAGGTTGTTTCAACAAGCAAGAAATTGGAGGGGAGATGCTATGGCTCCTGGCTCAACATGCCATTAGATGCCAAAGTGCCAGAGAAAAAATTGTGCAATTCAGAACCATATTGGTCATCACTTGTGATGGTTGAGGATGTCAATTGTCATGTGCTCTACAGGCCTTATTAACACCATTTCCCCATAACTTGGGGAGATATATCCAAAGCATTCCTAATTAATTACAAAGAAGATGTTACAAAATTGAGAAAAAAGGAACTTTTGGCCTTCAAATCTAAAGCTATGTATAGTCCAATAAAATACTGGCTGACAATTTCAAACCCTGGCTTGCTCATTGTTCTGAGATTTAATTGTACTTGCTTTAGCAAAAAATCTTGACAAAACAAAGTGAAATAAATGTTCCTTTACAATGTTTAGCATTCTATTTAAAGGAGTGCCATATCATCNTTTCTAAGTGGCATCTTGTCATTAAGGAAATAGCAATGATACCTACCTAAGAAAGCTCCAAAAGACACTCTGCCTATACCTGCTCCAGTAGGGCACAAGAAGAAAGGACAGATTCATAGAAGGGCAGGAAAGTAAGAGAAGATAAAATCATAAAGGAATTATTAGTAAGATTTTAGAGACAGAAAGAGATTAGTGGCATCTAAAGACTGATATATGCATGTATAGTAAAAATATAGCAAAAATGAACATTATTTTTAAAATCTATATTAAGTGTTAGAAAATATGTTAGCCCAACAGAAATCTGAATTCAGCTCTTAAAGGGATGGGATCCTAGTATGTATGAAAGCCTTTGAAATAAAATTTAAGATCTTTATTATTAAATACATTTCTTTTTAATGAATTTTCTAGAGCTATAGCAATTCAGCACTATAGCTAAGAAAATTCAGTTATTATTGAAAAGAATTTGCTAAAAAACTTTTATCAAATTACTCTTCATATTTTAGATGCACTTATTAGGCTTGTCAACATGCATCTTTTTTTTAAAAAAAAAGCAGCTAAGTATTATACATGTGGGAGCTACTCACCAAAATATTCATTAAGGAATGCAAGAGAAGCTACATAGCAGCAAAGACTGAAGATTTCAGCCACGATCATTAACCAGTGCCAGGTGCGTATAGTGAGAGCAACCATCAAGAGTTCAGTCAGGATCAGTGCCGTAAAGGAAATGGCAACAACATGGACAAATTCAGATTCAAAAAGCAGAAGGGCTCCATACATCAAAATGCCACCTAAGAAACACAGACATAGACATTTTTATTACTGATTCACTTAACAGACTAGTGTGACATGCATGTGCCTTTCAACTACAACTTGATTATTTCACAAAAAAAAGCTATTTGCAATCATTTTGAGAACAGTGCTGTAAAAGTTAAGAACTAGATACATTCCAGCATCTATCGTAAAAATAAGTTACTTTAGCGCAGGGGTGTCAAACTTGCAGCCCGTGGGCCGTATGCGTCACGCACTAGCCATGCCCAGTTTAGCAATGGGGAAAAAAAAGTCATGATACATCACGTGACGATGCTGTGACGATGTGAGTTTGACACCCCTGCTTTAGGGGAACAACATGCTTTCATTTATTTGTGAACTTAAAAGGAATCTTTTCTTCTTTTTTCACTGTTAAGTGTTGGATGTTTTTGTTTTGTATTTTATTCTTGTTGATAAATGAAAATAAATACGTTAAAAAAAGAAAGAACGTATATTCTTAACTAATGCTACAATACAAAGATCTTGAAATAAGATTCCTAGAGTACTGTGGAGAAAACTATTGTGCAGTATATGAAATTCAAGTGAATATTTTTTTCATTGTGTTAGTTAGAATTTGATTAAGTCCATTCAAATATTTTTAATCCCCATGATCTCATATTATGATGCTGACTATATCCCTGACATTCATACATTCAAAAGGGGATTTATATAATACAAACACAATTTAGAAACCCCATAAACACACCTTTTTGATATTCAACTATCCATGTGGACTCGGGGGACACCATCCAATGCCCAATCATGCCTACACTCAATTTTTTTAAAAAATCATTAAAAAAAATCTCAAAGTGGCATGCATCAAACAAACAAACACGTAAACTACCTATGTGGTATTAAAAAGAGACTTTATGTTATTTCAGTATCATATTTTAAACTGCTATTAAAATAATGTGAATGAAACATTAAAATGAAAAAAATAAAAATGTAATTGTGAAACTCAAATAGTACTGTTCTTTAGTTCAGAAGATACGAAGCAGAATTTCACCTTGATAAATACTGATTAAAACCCAGATGAGGAAGGTCTTAAATGACAATGATCGTCCCTAGAAGAAATAACAAAGAGTAGGTTACTTAACAACTGCATAAAAAGGCATCTGACATACTAAATAAAAGGAGAAACAATCTTCATGTTAGCCCATTAAGAATCTTCCCTGTTGCTTAGAACTCAAATATTATAATACAAGAATGCAAGAAACCCAAAATAACACAAAGGAATTGCAAACATTTGACTTCTTTAGAATTATTTCTCAAGATTGTCATTGCCAGGGACATGAAAAATAATGTTCCCAGTTTTATAAGATATAAGCTACAATTAAGATATTTGTTGTTGAAAGTTAGTCTTAAAATGATTCTAGATTAAGTGTATTAGTCCAGAGTTCAACAAACCTTTAAGACAGTACTATGTCATGATGAATGAATGCATATCTAAAAGAATGGGTGAGATAAACCCACTTGAGATCTGTCTTCATATAATAATATACTAAGTAAGATGACAACCTAAGTAAGATTTGAATGACACTGCACATTATTTTAGTGATTTAACAAAATAACAATAAACCCAAAAGATTGAGTACATTTTATTTTAGGCACTAAAGGGTTCATGTTTGTGGAACATGAGATTAAAGATGAACTTTTTTTGGGGGGGGGCGGAATACACAAAAATAAAAGCAATTTTTATCAGTCACACAGATTATTAAATCTGCACAAGTATAGAAGCTTGCAGCAAAGTTTTATTGGTTTTGATGTTTAGGGATTAATTTTAGAACCGTGAAATTTCATTGGTATATGTATTGCTTTAGCAATCATGTGGATAAGTTTTCTGCTGCTTCTTTCCCAGATTTATTTTAAGTTTTGCAGGCTAATTTATACCTGCTGTATTTCCTTAGTTTTCTTTAACTAAATACTAAAAGATTCAGCCTGTTTAGCATTTTGAGAATGACCACAATCGTTGGTTCTGCCAAGGAAAGTATTTTATTCAGGATTACAACAAGAGTACAACCAACTTTTATTTTAAAAGTCAGCAGTAAAAAAAAATCCAAATAGTGAATACTTATTTATGATAGGTGCTCAAAGAAGGAATCTGGCCTTTAAATTCTTTGATAGGAAAAAAAGTAGAATGTAAACCCCTGAAATATTTTTTGTTGTTAATTATTTTTAATTAACTGTTAGCTACCCAGTGTAGCGTGTATCAGGAAGCGGCCACACATGAAACTACCCCCCTTCCAACCAACCAATCATTGCAGACTTTTCAGTTGTTCTTTTTTGTCTTGTCTATCATCTCTAGTTTGTGTTCAAAACAAAAAATGCCAGCTACATGTGTGATTTGAATGCTCTCACCTTGGTAAGATCTTTGTAAAGTTCAGGATACAATAGTGCCATTTCAGGTTTTACATCTTGATCCAACACTAAAGAGAAGACTGGAAACATAGTGTATATGGTTGCATACCTTAGAGAAAAACAATTTTAAAACAGTTGAATATTGTTTAAAGCCATATTCTTTACATAAACTACNAGGATAACAGGCAAAAAATGTGGAATGTCTCTGTTGGGTTAGATTAGTATTATCTAACTAACTAGTATTTAGATGTTGTGTTGATTTAAAACAAATGTGACTCTTGGTTTCACTGCTTGGGACTCCTTTGGAAAGCCTACCAATCTACCTACCTGCACAAACAACATTATCAGCAATTGATGAAAGCTAGGCCATTACCTCCAGAGAGTCACCAGATATTACTAAAGCACAATCATGTTTCCTTCTGAATGCATTTAATTCCAAATGAGCTTCTCCACGGCTGGTTACCTGAATAACAGTAATAAAAATAAAAAAGTAAAACAGAGTTAGGACAACTTTTAAATAGATGTATGTAGATACATACATTGTTATGAAAATAGAATTTTAATCCGATACCGTAGAAGCTGTAGAAAACATAATGATTTACATGCAAATTCATTTAAGAGACAAGTTTTGTAGCATTGAAGTTAAATTGCACTGAGAAGCTTACATTTTCTCCCTCTTAATTTCATATACATGACACATTTACAAAATGGTTTTAAATTAGAGTTCTTAAAAAAAGAAAGAATGTAATGTGGACGAGAAACTTGACAATTTTGATTATCTCTCCTGCCTCAAAAAATGTTCTGACAAGGATCCATCCAGAAATCAAGCCCTCGGGAATTGAAGAAAGATGCATTTGGGGAAAAGGCAAGTGTGTGAAAGGCAAACAAGAAGCACAACAAGCTTATGCCGAAATAATTTCAAGCCTCCTGCAGCTAAAATTATATTCTCAATTTAATCATTTCAAATCCTCCTAACGCTGAGAAATATACACAAAATAAATATTTTATATTAATAAATTATTTTTAAAAATGAATAAATCTATTGGATATTTAATAGCTTTCTTTATTTTTTTCCACAAAAAAAAAATGCCCAAAACATGTTTTCAAAAATTGGGTTGAATGAACCGGTGTGTGTGTGTTCATGGGGTCATAAAAAGGGAGGTTTGTGAATTTTAAGAGCTGCTAAAAACCTCTCCTTTAGATGCTTAATCCAGATAAATATCTGCAACCCATTATTATGTCAACTCCTACTGAGTTTTGCCTTGATTTTTCATACCCCCAACCAACATGAACAGGACAACCCATGTCAGAATATGCTACAGAATCAGTGGTGGGATTCAGCCAGTTCACACCTATTCAGGAGAACCAGTTCACTTTCTAAGCAGTTTGGAAATTGGTTGTTGGAAGAAATCTTTTTGTTTTTTTCTACTTTATAGGGCTAATCCTGCAAGGAAGGCAGGAAGGAATCATTCTGGTGTTGTTTCTAGCCTAATCTTTATTGACCTGCTTACAGAAACGGCCTCTCTGGTTAACCCTTATTACAGCTAAGGCAAAGCGCTCATTGATCTGAGTGACATTGAGTTGGCCACGCCCACATGGTTACATGACCACTGAGCCATGCCTATCCAACTGGTCATTAGGGCAGAGAACTGGTTGTTAAATTATTTTAATCCCACCACTGTACAGAGTAATGCATTCACAGTATGCACTCTTTTGTACTCCACATGCATGTCCTTTGTGTTATTATCTACACAACTGTTACACATGCTGTATATCATAGTCTTCAATTTATGACCATTCATTCAGTGACAACTTGAAATGATTGTGCTTAAAGAATGCACTTTTGGCCCGTGCCCAAAATTATGTTTGTTGCAGTACCTTGTGGTCACATGACCAAAATTTGGGTGTTTTGGCAAATAAGGTTGTACTGCATTTAATTCTTGGATTATATATAACAAATTTGCAGGAAACCAACACATCTTTCAGCTCTAGCAAAGAAGACAACAGGAGCTAAGAATGATGGGGAAAATATATCAGCAGTTCTACTTACGGGTCTGAAAATATGAATATCTTGGCTCCTAGACACTAAATGGGAACTTTTTGCAATACAAGTTGCAGTCTCCAATTTATCTCCTGTTAGCATCCATATCTATGAGATAATTTTAGAATTTAACTGTTAATTCTTTATTATATTAAAAACCATGCACGTATTTTTCTCAAATTAACTTAAGGGGGAAAAAAAGTAAAGATTTAAATTATTCCTTTGGCTTTGTTTTGCATCAAATAAATGCAGAGTCCAGCTGTAGGGGTCTATGGAGGCAAAAGCAACCAGCATTTAAACTCATTCTATCTATTCAAATAAGGTAGCTCCTCAGGACAACTATAACTAAGTTATAAATTAATATTACTGTCCCAATAGGCAGCTTTTTTATAAATAAAGAGATTCATATGGCTGCCAATCTACCAAAGAAACTCTAGATAGTGAATAGAGATTAAAATGTCCTCCAAAATGTATAAATCCATTAAAGAAAAAGTAAAGCAAGGACTGTGAAACCCCGCCCCCCCTGAAATTTAAAGCCAAATTTGGAAGGCAAATCCTAACGTGTTTAATAACATGATCTGCTCTATTGCAACTTCTGTGCACATGGAATACTAAAGTATTCAGTTATATAACATTAGCAGAATGTAAATAGATATATATGTGGATATATTCATGGAAAAATTCATATGGTAACTCTTAGTAACTATTGTTGTATATAGTTAATAATTATATTGTTGTATAGTTACTAAGTTACTATAGTACAAAAATTCAAATAATTTTTTTGTACTTTCTTTGCTTTTTTGCATAAGGCAAAATAATTGTCTCTAGTTAATATATTTAAATGTATTCTACAAAAAATTAACTTTGCCTTCTCTCTGTCGTGCTCTCTCTCTCTTTCTTCCTTTTACTTATAGGTGTTGTATCAGCAGTGATACATTCCTAGCTTATATTTCTCATATGAAACAGATTGAATTCTTAGTTAGAGCAATAGATCTGCAGTAAGAGAACAAAAAATGTATATAAACAAACTGAAGAATAAAAAAAAAATTAGTACCTTTATTCCAGCATTCCGTAGCATCTCTAACGTTGGCCTAACATCAGCCTGTAATTGATCTTCAACTCCAGTGAGACACAATAATTCCATTTCTCTTTCTAGACTCTCTACAACTGCAGCCACCTTGAGCATCCTGTCATGTATACTTAATTTTGCTTGGTTATATCGATTCTAAGAGAAAACAAAATGTAATTTGTAGCCTCAAGTAGATAAGAAAGATTTTTACGTTGTCCAAAATGCAAGCCCTAGAGTGCTATTTGATTCATGGATTCACTTTAGAATCTGAAATTCAGATTTCACATATGATGTGCATGCAGAAGTAAATGAACATATGTAATACCAATGACAGAAAGAAACGTAAATATCCAAATATTTTATACCTGTAAAATTCAAGCTCTAAAGTCTTATTTGAAACGATTTGCACAGTACTATTACTTTTTATTTTTGGTGGTCTGATTTGATCTCGGTTTATGAAGTTGATAGAATTGAAGTAACCAACCACACTATCTGGACTGAAGTTTCACACATGACAGGATGTAATATTTCAGGATTTACTACTTCATTCCTGAAAACTGTGGCACATAATTAACCTGAATGGAGGGTTTTATAGAAAAGTATAGTATAGTACAATTGGAAAACAAACCATACATCACAGACAAACATAAAGCTTTTGGGACAATTATTTTCTAATTTACAAACTTTGCTTTGATCAGAAAAGAGAGTCATGCTTGAATCACTAGTCAATGTGAACAATAAACAAAAGTAAGTTTTGTGGAGTTTGGGCACATGAGTTAATTCAGATATTGCTTATATTATATGATATCTTTGTGGATTAATCATAATATTATTTGGAAATTGAATATTAGTAATAGAAAAAAAATATGACAACAAAAATATAAAAGAGAAACTGAATCCTTGTTATAGACTTACTGGATATAGAGCAAGGGATGTTTTGTGCTATAGAGTGTATAACTTTTAGAAAGAATGTCGTGTTTAGTTGTTGAAACTGAATACACAGAGGCTAACTGTCAACCTTGCAGCATCCCATGGTCACATAGTGACCTTTTGTGACCTTCACTGCTGGCTTCTGACAAGCAAAGTCAACAGGAAAGGAGGGCAAAAAGTTGCAAATGCCAATCTCGTGACTGTGGGATACTGTGTGACTGCATGGGATTCACTTAATCATGGCAGCTGGGACCATTGCAACCACCATCTTAAGTTGGTGTGATCATATGATGTCTATGTTTATAGTTTCATATAGTTTATGAATGCATTGATCAGCAAAAGAATTGCCTGTCCTATTAATCAAAGATTACCTGCATTGTTGTTCACAAAATCTGGGGTAAGAACAATTATATTCCTTGACAATATAAATATTACCTATATATAGTAGATACATTATTGACTCCCAATTGGGTTTGTATCAATTTCTTTTTAAACTTTAAAATTCAATGTAGAGAAATGTAGGCAAAGAAACCCCCTCCCCCAAATGCAGAATAGGTGGTACCTGGCTGAACAGTAGTAACTGCAAGAAAAAAATTGGCGTTTTAGTGGATGACCACTTGAATATGAGCCAGCAGTGTGCTGCAATTGCCAAAAAAGCTAATAATAGAGGGATGGAATCAAGAAAATGTGAAGTATTAATACCACTTTATAATGCCTTGATAAGACCACACTTGGAATATTGCATCCAGTTTTGGTCGCCATGATATTAAAAAAATGTTGAGATTCTAAAACATTTGAAGAACAGTTGCAGGAATTGGGCATGTCTAAAAAGAAGGACTAGAAGTGACATGATAGCAGTGTTCCAATATCTTATGGGTTGCCACAATGAAGAGGGAGTCAAGCTATTCTCCAAAGCACCTGAGGGCAGGAGACGCAGCAATGGATGGAAACTAATCAAGGAGAGAATTAAGGAGAATTTTTCTAACAGTTAAAACAATTAATCAGTGGAATGACTTGCTTCTAGAAGTTGTGGGTACTCCAACCCTGGAGGTTTTTAAGAAGAGATTGGACAACGATTTATCAGAAATGGTATAAAGTTTCCTTCCTGAGTAGGGGTTGGATTAGAAGACCTCCAAGGTCTCTTTCAATTCTGTTACTTTTGCTCATTAT